CTGGAAAATTCCTAGAGGGGACTAGTACCGAACTTGCACAAGGAAAATGACTCACAACGAAAGCAAAAGACTTGGCAGACGATGCAACATCCCCCCAATGAAAAGAAGGGGTGTCACTAGCACGTTAAGAGACCTTACAATAATGTGTCAGGGGCCGAGACTGTTCAACTGCCTCCCAGCATTACATTAGGGGGAGTTTCCAACCAGGACCCCTGGCAGTCTTCAAGCTGGATTGGACAAGCTCACCTAAAGTCGGACCCTGAACAGCCGGGCTGTGGCTCGTACGTTGGTTTGCGTTGCAGCCGCAGTATAACGCTAGTTGATCAGGCTCTGTTCCAACTGGAGGCCTGGTCACAGACCGGGCCGCGGGGGCGTTGACCCCCGGACTCTCTCAGGTAACTCAAGGTAAACTTGTGGTGACGGTGCCACAACTTGTCTGATTTTAGGACCTTCACATCTAGTATGCAACAATCTCTTTTTTTTCCCATGAAAAGTAATGTTTCTCCTCTACTGTGTCGTAGATAAACAATGACGAGGCATTGTAAGCTGATAATTTGACAGCTTAAAAAACTATTTATCTGAGAAAAGGAGAAATAACACAAACTCGGTATGAGTGTTAAAAAAACATCTCATAAAACATAAATTCAAACATAAAGCAATAAATGATCTTCCATTAAAATGACAAACTTATGTAAATAATAATTTAGTTGAAAAATAATAGTTAAAGATAAAGGCTTTATTTACAGAAACTATTATTAGAGCTTAACTAACATTAGATTTAATTTAAATGTTCAAAGTTGATTAGAAACACATTTTTTTACCATTTTAGGGTTTTGTCCCGTAGTTTCTATGGCTCTGAAGCCAAATGGTCCCAGCCTAGTAATACACATGATCTCAGTTCAAGTCTTTATGTTGTGAGGGGTAAATTATGCTAGATATGAGAGAATGCATCTATGTGATAAGCGTGAAACCATATAAAGCACAATCCTGCTGCATGCATGTGCATAATGGAAAAAAACTGTCGAATGTGTTTTGGATTCAAACAGTGACCCATGCAGTCTTTTGTTATAATACCGTATGGTTTTTACAGGTGTTTTCATGTGTTCTTGGTCTCAATTGTGAAGGAAGTTATGTTACAGAAATAGAATTGATCTGGTTTGTTTTAGTACAGAAATTGTTATTTAAAATTGAAGTCATAATAATGGAAAAGTTCGATATTTGCCGATGTTCCAAGAGTAAACATATCTTGTCATGCGTTCAATATATGCCAACTGCTGAGTCTATATACCTTCACGTATTCCTGATATTATTTGTTAAATTATTACAATCATAGGCATAAAGTAAATCTTGGTTTTGCCGGGTGAATAAAAATTCTTTATGTGAAAAAAAAAATTGAAATGTAATTAATCTGTAAATCTGGAAACGTAACTAATGAACAGAGAAACGTGTGTTTTGTTCAGGACTGCCTGCCATTGTTTATTTTGAAAACTGAAATATTTTGAACTTTTGTGTGAAATTGGTTGAATTACCAGTTTCTTGATTTTCTATTCATGAATAGTGGAAAATTTAATCTGGGCCGTTTCTTGTGGCTCAATGATATTTTGGAAGTGCTGCTGCGATGTAGCTAAGATTTGGTCCACTTGGAATACTGTAATTGGCCTAGATTGAGAATCAACAGTCGGCAAGATCGCCGAGCTAAATTATCGTGACGCAAAAAAAATTCGCAAAGCAAATTTCGTCAGTTTTCATCAAGTTTCGTACTTTTTGTTATATTACCTTCAGAAAAAGATTCTCTACCATTTCAAAAAACTAAAATAATAAATTTTGGGTGGCAAACTTTTAACCATGCAAACTTTAACACATGTGACAAACTTTAACACCATGGGCAAACTTTAACACCATGGGCAAACTTTAACACCATGGGCAAACTTTAACACCATGGGCAAACTTTAACACCATGGGCAAACTTTTTAACACCATGGGGTCAAACTTTAACACCATGGGCCAACTTAACACCATGGGCAAACTTTAAACACCATGGGCACAATCTTTAACACCATGGGCAAACTTTAACACCATGGGGCAAACTTTAAACACCAGGCAAACTTTAACACCCATGGGAAAACTTTAACACCATGGGCAAACTTTAAACACCATTGGGCCGAACTTTTACACCTTGGACAAACTTTTATAAGCCATGGACAAACTTTATCACCATGGACAAACTTTCAACACCCTGGGCAAACTTTAACACCATGGTATACTTTAACACCCGGACAAATGTAACACCATGGACAAACTTTAACACCATGAGCAACTTTAAACCATAGTAAAACTTTAACACATGGGCTAACTTTAAAACCATGGATCAAACTATACATTCTGGACAAACTTTAAAATCCATGGACAAACTTTAACACCCTGGACAAACTTTAACACCATGGACAACTTTAACACCATGGACAAACTTTAACACCATGGGCAACTTTAACACCATGGACAAACTTTAAACACCCTGGAAAACTTTAACACCCCCATGGACAAACTTACACCATGGCAAACTTTAACACCATGGACAAACTTTATCCACCATGGACAAACGTTAACACCCATTGACAAACTTTTTCCACCATGGACAAACTTTACACCATGGACAAAACTTTAACACCTGGGACATCTTTAACCACCATGGACAAACTTTAACACCATGGACATACTTTAACACCTTGGACAAACTTTATCACCATGGGAAAAACTTTAACACATGGACAAACTTTATCACCATGGACAAACTGTAACAACACATGGACAAACGTTATCACCATGGACAAACTTTAACACCATGGACCAAATTTAACACCTGGACAAAACTTTAAACACCAGGGACAAACTTTAAAACAATGGACAAACTTTAACACATGGACATATCATTTTAACACATGGAAGACTTTACACCATGGACAAAACTTTTAACACCATGGACAAACTTTAAGACCATGGACTACACTTTTACACAGGGCAAACTGTAACACGCATAGGCAAACTTTAAACCATGGTGCAACTTTGACACTTAGGAAAACTTTAACACATGGGCAAACTTTAACAACATGGGCTAGCTTTAACCACCATGGGCAAACTTTAACACCATGGAAACTTTAACACCCATAGGGCAAACTTTAATCCTTGGGGCAAACTTTAACACCATAGGCAACTTAACACATGGGCAAACTTTAACACATAGGAATCTTTACACCATGGGCAAAACTTAAACACCTGGGCAACCTTTATCACCTTAGGCATAAGTTAACACCATGTACAAAACTTTAACACCATATGCAAAATTTAAAACACATTGGGCAACTGTATACACCTTTGGGCAAACTTTTACACATGGGCAAACTTTAACCCTCCATGGACAATCTTTTTCATCCAGGGTCAATATTTAATCACCTGGAACAATCTTTAACACCATGGACACAACTGTATACCTCCATGACAAAATTTTACCACCATGACCAAACTGTATACACATGGACAGACTTTAACACCTTGGTCAAACGTTTTAACCCATGGACAAACTTTTTAAGACCATGGACAAACTTTAACACCATGGGCAAAACTTTAAACACCTTAGGCAAACTTTAACACCATGGGCAAACTTTAATCACTTAGGCAATACTTTCAAAACCATGGGCAATACTGTAACACCCTGGGCAAGCTTTAACACCATGGCATACTTTTACACATGGATATTACTTAACACAACTAGGCAAACTTTAACACCATGGGCAAACTTTACACACCATAGGCAAACTTTATCACTATGGCAAACTTTAAAATACATCTAACACCAGAGGCAAAACTTTAACACCATGGGAAATTTTAACACCATGGGTCAAACTTTAACACCATTGGCAAACTTTAACACATAGACAAAACTTTAACCACCATAGGCAAACTTTAACACAAATGGCAATAACTTTAACAACAAGGGCAAACTTTAGCAACATGGGCAAACTTTTATACACCATGGACAAACTTTTAACCACCATAGGCAAACTTTAACACCATGGGCAAACTTTAACACCATGGACAAACTTTAACACCATAGGCAAACTTTAACACCATAGGCAAACTTTAACACCATGGGCAAACTTTAACACCATGGGCAAACTTTAACACCATGGGCAAACTTTAACACCATGGACAAACTTTAACACCATAGGCAAACTTTAACACCATGGGCAAACTTTAACACCATAGGCAAACTTTAACACCATGGGCAAACTTTAACACCATAGGCAAACTTTAACACCATGGGCAAACTTTAACACCATGGACAAACTTTAACACCATAGGGGCAAACTTTAACTCTCCGTCTGAATCAAGAGGTGAGCCAAGGTCTCTGCACTTCCGTTGATACCCCACTCATTATGTACAAGGTACCATGTTCACACACACGTTGGCAGAACTAATTGACTTAAGTGTTGTAAATCATAGCACAGGCACTAGGAAAGTACTGGCCCAGACTTATCACAACCTTCCCATCTGTGAATGGCTGATGAAGACCATATAAGATAGTAATATGTTTCTTATCGCATGTTGCTGCCATGATAAATGTTTTAAAGCGTTTTCTTTCTGATGAATGTTATCATACAATTAGAAGCGCACGTGCTGACGCTGTTTTAAAAAAAAATTGCCATATTGGGTATATATTATAACTTATTCCAGAGACTAAATTCCACTAAATTTCGAATATAATTATTGTTATAATATCTATTTTATTTTTATTGTTTTCAGAAATAAATTATTATTAATATCATTTTTCACTACATTAATTTTACACAAATCCAATTATGAATGGTTTAAGTTATTTAGCGATTTTTTAATTGATAAGGCAGTTTTATTTGTTAAAGCTGGAATGACGTAATAATCACTTTGCATTTCCTTTCTCAGTAAAGATGTATTTGATCTCATGATTGTTTTGCAACCATTTACAGAGGACATCAAGAAGACTACAGGCAACACAGATGTGGTAGTGAGGCAGATAGACACCTCAGACCTGACCTCGTCAGGAAGTTTGCTGAAGACATCCTACGCACAGAGACTGCTCTCCATATCCTGGTAAGCTCACTCAAGGTATCTTAACGCTGAGAATGCATTCTATATCCTGGTAAGTTCAGTCAAGGCATCGAATACACGATGTTATAATATTTGTGAGTAATCGTGTGTATTAATTTTACAGGTAAAATCCTGAATTAACATTTCACACACAGCCGGGGAGAACTCTGGCACATCTAAAACGGATTAATTACACTTACTAATATAGTTGTACCTCGGAGACAGGTGGGACTTTAGCAACAGTGGGTCACTGCACTGTCTCACCTTCGATGTCCACCTTCTCAACTTCCCAAACTCACGAAGTGGGACCTTAAATTATATGAACATATAGTTCTTGAATTTATTAAATAAAATATTTCAAGCCAGAAACACTGGTTGTATTAAATTTGGCTGTGGACTGTATATATTAATGAAAAAATTACTTTGTACTGAACAACCTCAAGTATTGTTGGTCCAAGTTTTAATTAATTATGAACACAATTTTCGTATTACTTAAATTTGATAGAATATTTATAAGTGTACATAAACCTGAAAGATTTTTACCCAGTTATTCTTTAGTTGATACAACCTAACGCCTCACTAACAGGAGGGTAACCTAATATTGGATCTATGGTTTTATACCACATATAAGGAGGTGAACATAACAGCTTTATTTTTGTCTGTCTATTGAATAGATCTGCACCTTTCCAGATACACTATTTGTTTATCCCGACGTTTATAATCACTTTATCAATATTTTCTTCTAATGGTTCCAGTACACTGGATTAAATGGCCTAAAATTTTGTCCATTCTTCCATTACATATTTCCCGGCTTCTTCCCAAACGTGTTCTTACTAACATTGTTGAGTTAACTCGATAACACTTTCAGGTGTGCAATATATTTTCATTATTGAATTATTATTTTTCCCACCATTATAATAAGTATGCTTTACTTAACTGACTATCAAACAAAAGAAAAATTATAGGGGACGTTGGATCCTCTGTGGTCTACCGTTTAAAATTCACTTCAACACTACACGCCTACATATGTTATATATACACTAATATATCTTTCAATTATTACCCAAATTATGGGAAAATTATTAAAATTTTCCACAATAATTATGTACTTGTCAGGTGAACAACGCAGGGATGAGTGGTATGAAGAAGAGGAAGTTGACAGCAGATGGTCTGGAGGTGACGATGGCAACCAACCACTTTGGTCACTTTCTGCTGACTAACATGTTGCTGGGTTAGTACACTCTTGTCTTATTATGGTAGTAAATATATGACAGTGTATGTGCCATGCTAGAGCATTATGTTACAATTATTCTAGTGAGGAAGAAGATAAACTGGAACTAATGGTCACTTTCTGATGACTAACTTGTTGGATCACGGCTTAGAGGAGATGATCCAAGATGTCATGGGAAGTAAGCCACACTGCTTAGATATCGTACAGTTTCATACACATATTTTATTCCTGGACGGATGTGAGCTCTAAACTCATAGGGGTTATTCAGCACCTGAAGAAATGACAGGACATCACTTTCGATCCAATTTAATTAACTAAATCTTGGAATATAGATTAATGTGATCCTTTATTCACAACGTTTCGCCCAAACAATTGGTTTTATCAAGTCACAAAAAATGTACTTGATAAAGGCCGCTGTTTAGGCAAAATGTTATTAATAAAAGACTGGGTATCTCACAGAGCGTTTTACCTACAGGGTCAGCTTCATTAGTCAATTTCAGTATTAGTAAATATTATGACAGCAGTAACAGTGGAGAGGTAAAGCTGATGTGATCAGTACAACAACCTTGAAGAGGTAGTTTGAGGTACTCAGTCCCTCTTCCTGGACATGTGTTCAACTTCATAATTTTGAACAATGTGAATCTGAAACATGAGAAAGGAGACATTTAAGTTCCAGAGATGATGTGTGGAAAATGAAAACGACATTAAAGGAAATGGTTCCCACTATCAGATGTAAAAATGTGAAGGAACATGTAAAGGTAGGCAAGTCCTCAAATACAGGTCTTTAATTTGTGGTTCCTCTTCAAGGGGGCTCCTTGAAGTGGTGAAGAGGCTCTTGATCTGAGGAATTAGACATTTTGGTCTTCTTCCTCAGATCAAACCTAATTAACCACCACTCCCCTTTCCCTATCCCATTCTCCACATCCCCCTTTTCCATTCCCACCACCTCTCCCATCCCTCTCTTTTACCCATCACGTTTTTAGCCTCTGGTATCCTCTTCTCTGGCAATATGGTTCTAGTTAGGGGGAAGTGTGCTGGGGTTCATGCCACTCCGTGGGGTCCCTCGGGAGTAGTGTAGTTTGTCGTGGAATCTGGATCATCTGGAGGTGCCCTGCTCCCTTCCTGGATTTCAGGAGGTAGAGCAGGGTGTGTTGCAGGTGATGGGTGTATCTCCAGAGGCTGCCTGTCGGTTCTGGGAGGTGGCAGCCGAGGGAGGTATGTTTTGTGGCATGTGTCTGACCGCCCTCTCTTATGTCCGCTGAGGTGGCTCAGTGGATGTGAGGTTGCTATCCCGGAGCACTGGTTTACTGGTGTGAAGGGTATGGGTATGGCACAGGTTCCATGCTGACTCTGCGTTGCTGGCCGTTTCAAGGTCCTCTCGGATGAAGGGAGGAACTTATATCCCTTCTATGACTTCTAGTCGCTGTCTCTTTTTTCTTTCCTTCATTTTTTTCTTAAAATAATAATAAGAAAGAAGTGCCACCATTATTTAGTCTTAGTTCAGCGATCCCCCTCCTCCTCCCAGGCCCCTTTTTGTTACCACATCCTCTTCTGACCTGGCTTCATTACTGGACTATTCTCCAGACTTTTCCCTTGCCCCTGTACCTTTTGGGGAGCTTTGTCCCCGTCCAGGTGTGAGGTCTTCCCATGTTTTTAGTGCCTCTGCCTCTTGCAGTTTTTTATGCATCGGTTCCCCCCACAAAATTTACAGTTTAAGTCCCCCACCTCCCTCGGGTTTGGGCCGCCTTCAGTCCTACCCTAAATGTTCCCAAACCCCTATCTGACTACGGTTTTATTCCTATTCCCCCCGAAACACCTACACAAACACCTCTTCCTTTACGACCATTTTTTACAACTAAAACAGGGGAAAATTTTTTTTCAAAAAAACCGACTCCCAACGATTATTTTAGGCCAAAATATTGTTAAATCTCGGGCCAAAATTACCCTTTTCGCGTCTGACGTGCATCATCTTAACAGCTAGAACCAGATCAAGCTAAATTTTTTTTCCCGCTTATTTTAACTGAAAACGTTCCGTCACAGTTCCCAAGCACACAACTCTCTTCTTACTGTGGTACCTTTGTACATTATTTTCCTCTTGCGTGACGATATTTTAGAGCAATTAGCCCTTCAGGCCTCTATTCGAAAGTAAATATTTTGTCCTGCCCGCAAGGGCTTTCCCAGTAACATCACCCTTAACCTTTGACAGCCGTGAATCCCCTCCTTTCTTCTCGTGACATGCCTAGAGTCCATAGACTGGTCCCTAACCTAAACATATCGAAATTGTAGACACTTGGACATCCGTAAATACTAGGTCTTGGCAGAATCCCGGCTGCAGTGCCAAGATCTGCTGATAATTTACGTCCCCCCCCCTTGTCTTAATTGCAATGAAACCTTTTTTTTTTCCCGGGCCGTTGGGTCTATCTTAATGAATTGAAATTCGTTGTTTAAGGAGAGTGCAGGCCTTCTTATGCTATGGCTGTCTCTCGGCTTCCCCTTAGGAAATCTTCCTCTGTTCCTTATTCCGAGAGCTACAAAGACCCCCAAACCCTTGAGGTCCCCCCCCTACCCCTCCCGGTGTATGTCTTCCAGGGCACTCCATCTATAATTCTTTTAGGGTTTTTTCTCTCTGAAACCCCCACCTCGCACCTCTTCCTACTTCTACTTTTTTCTCTCGCCCGATTTCTCGGGTTTTGGGCCTCGCACCTTGCCCTTCTTTTTGCCCACACCCGTGAAGTTGAACTCTCTAAAGCTCAAGTCTCGTTGCATTCCTCCGGTGCTTACAATTCCTGAAAAGTTTCTCCCCTTTTGACCTAGTGCCGAGTTTTTTGCCCCCCTTTCTAACTTCACACGAAAATGAAGGTTCCCCTCCCGTGTGTCCCCCCTTCTACTGTGCCCCTCCCCCCGACTTCTCCCCCCTCCCCCTTCCCGTCTCCCAATTATTAATTTTTTTAAAAACCCCCCTTTTTATACAGTAACCCAAAAATTTTTAAGCAAGGTTTACTAAAGGGCTTCTGTGGCCCCCCCCCGGGGTTAGGAACCCTGAATTTAAATTGTTTTAAAACGAGATCCCCCCCTTTATGGGGGGTTGCATTTTAGACCCCAACAGACCACAAGTTTCTGCATTTTTAACCCCCTTAAAATTTTTTTTTTGACACTCATTTCTGCGTCACCTTTTACAATTAAATGTCCCTCAATTTTCATGCTTCATCTTCACTTTGTTCAAGACTATGAAGGTGAACACATCTCCAGGCTTAGGGACTTGACCACCTACACAAACTACCTCTTAAAGGTTTGTTTACATGATCACATAAACTTTACCTCGTTCAACCGCTTCTGCTGCCTCCAAATTCGACACTTCTTATGTTGACTAAGAGACTACTGTGTTGGCGAAACATTCAAAATAAGATTCCTAACTGTTTCACATGCTCTAAAACATATCCGCTGTCCGGTATTGTTACCATATTATATTAATCTTTCCTTGTGGTATTTCGCGTATGAATCAAGTAATGTCAATTCTTCAACAAATGACAGTTTTTCACACTTTGACACTGACTGGAGAAAAATGTTAAGAGCCAACTGATGTTAGATAGAACTCAATTTCTTGTCCTCGGACAACGCTCTGCAAGCTGTCCCGAAAAACGACTTCCCCGAAGTAAGTGGCAGATCATAAATGAATCACTTAACATAAAGGCAGTGAGTAAACAAAAAGCCGAGCAAATAATGAATTTCTTCTTCGTAGTATGTTACATATGTTTATGATAAATGTTATCTGCTGTGAGAAAATATTGACTTCTCAGTTTAATGAAACGTGGATTACTCTTTCTTGGAAATACAGTACTACCCACCATATTTGAGTGGTTTGGAATACTGTTGTTTAACTAGACTGGTGAAGACGTGATAGACTTCCTAGATCGAACAAATCCTTGAAATTAGTGGGCCTGAGTCTTCTTACAGTAGCTGAGAAGTTTATGAAATTAAAATTTGTTTCTGCAGCTTAGACTGGCATCCAATTTTCCGGTGGCGAAGTCTCCAATAAAATCGCAAAATAATGGAAAGTCGATATTCATAAATAGAAAAATAGCATAAAACATTTGGCAACACAATGGGGTACAAGAACAATGATCTACGACTTTTCTACAAGAAATTATAGTCTTTATATCAGGTATGGTGACGTGATGTGGGTGCACACATGCTACTGCCCATATAGTTTTTGGAATTTTTTCCATTGTTTTTTATCGCTTTACTCGCATTATTCTTCTAATATCAATCGAAGAAGACAACAAAGCTGTCTGAGATGGAAGAAAAGGATAAGGAAGGATGGAAATATAACTAGAAAAGATGGGAAGAGGGAATAGGAGGAACAAGAAGTGCCCAAGCCTACACTTTGGACATGTGATACCGGGAATACTAAGGCGTAGATGGAGAGCCATTGAAATGATGTGTAGACAATCAAATGCGCAGCAGGCGGCAGGACTGAGAGGTCATAGGGTAGGCACAACAGGATGAGTTAGTTATTCTCTTGGTCCGTTGTCACTCTTTCAATTTTGTTCTAAAGTTTTGTCACCACATATGGAGAGCTGTAGAAGAGTTCGTTGTTTGATTGTGAGTTACTGGTTGACCGGTAGACTGGCTTGTCGTCGGGGGTGTACATTGCTGTGTTGCGTTGGAGATTTGGATGAGTTCTATGCAGTCATTGGGTCGTGAGTATGTTTGTGTCTGTGTAGAACTGTGTCTTTGATCAACTTAAAACTTAAGATCGACAACACTCTAATTGCCAACATAATAGGCAAATTCCTTGCCTATACCGCGAAACAACCTAAATTTCAGCACCAATACCACGCATAACAAAAAAATATCCAAAATGGAGGATCCCACTCCAAGATACGATACACGGCCCCAAACTGCCCGTCTCCAACACTTGACCCTTACCACTTAAATATCCGATACCTCACCGATGCTATCTTGCTTGGTTCAACTGCAGCAACACACTAAACCAATAATAACTCAACAAAAAGCCGCAGTAAGATAATAATCACTAATC